ACTCTTGGGGTGAGTGTGACAGGACAGCAGCACCAAAGCGCTGTTGTCACACCAACCACGTTACTGCTGCACTGCACTCAAGTGGCCTCAGACTGCATCAGTTCCAAATCCAGGGCTGTTTACCAAGAATTAGGGCAGAAAGGTCAGCAATGCCCCCAGAGCTCTGCAGCAGAAAATGGGAGGTTCTGCCCCTGCTCCCAGACAAACTGCAAATGGAATTTTTCCTCAGAGGCAGCAGCACCACCTGGAAGTGAGGCAGTCTCCAGCACAGGAAGTGTAAAACAGTCCCTCTCTATTTCCAGGAACCAACACACCATCCATCTGTTCCTTTTTTATTTCTGCACCAGCACCACCTCAAGGACCACCTCCCCGTAATTAATGCCAATTCTCTGTCCACCTCACCAACCTTTAGCATCCACAGTCTCCTTCAGGACAACCTCCACTCTTTCCACGTGATGTCGGTTCCAAATTGGATCCAGAAAGTGGCGGTTCTGATCCCGAAAAGGCAGRATATGGGCCACAGCCTGTGAAGGGGAAAATCAAAGACCCAATAAAACCTCAGCAGATTCCCACAGGGTCTCTGCCTCAGTGTCCTGTGCAGGCAGCAGAGCAGAGYGGGTCAGAGAAGGGAAAAGCAGCAGGAGAGCCTGCAGTGAGGCACAGTGGGGTCAGTGACTGTCCAGAGAAGACATTAAAGGTCTTTCTGAGGCATTTTGAGGTTTCGTGTGAAAAGGCTGAACTACAAACTGCAGAGCACTCAGTTTATGTCTGTCAGAGGACAAAGGGCTGAGTCAGATCATCTGGGACTCATGTAAGGTTCCAAAGCACTGAAAGACATCAGTTCAGATGCTTACAGCACTAAAGCCATCTGCTTTTTTTGGGGAGATAAAATAAACCCCAAAAAACAAAACCGAAGAAATGCCCCCTCTTAGTGGAGACCAAACTCCTCAGTAAAACCTGGCCAGAGTGCCATGGCTGGGACAGGCCCCTCTCAAACGTGGATCACAATKGTGTGGAACAAGGATGGCACGTCCTTGAGCACCCTCCCTCTGGGACAGAGCAGCTCCACATCCCCAGCTGTACCTGCAGCACACAATCCTTCCAGCCCAGAGTGCAGCCCAGGGCATGAAGAAACCTCCCCCTGAGTATCCCCCAGAGCTGACATCCCATCAGCTCCTTATCATATCAAATGAAGAGGCGCTTTCAGAAGCCATGGCTAAGCAGAGAGGCCGTGTGGAACGAGATGGGAGAGCTGTGAGAGGAGAGGCACTGCTTCCTCAGCGAAACCCAACCCTGACCTTGGGGAGGGGAGCAGAGGAGCTCTGCAGCTCTGCTGAGGAACATAGCTCTGCTCCAACAGAGGCAATCCTGCACTCCTGCAGCTCTGCTCAGGCACACAGAGCACAGCCCTGCTCCAACAGAGGCATTTCTGCAGCTCTGCTAAGGAACACAGAGAGCAGCCCTGCTCCAACAGGAAACAATCCTGCAGCTCTGCTGAGGAACACAGAGAGCAGCCCTGCTCCAACAGGAGACAATCCTGCAGCTCTGCTGAGGAACACAGAGAGCAGCCCTGCTCCAACAGAGGCATTTCTGCATTCCTGCAGCCCTACTGAGGCACACAGAGCACAGCCCTGCTCCAACAGGAGGCAATCCTGCAGCTCTGCAGCCCAGGCTCACTCACTCCAACAGGAGGCAATCCTGCAGCTCTGCAGCCCCCGCTCTGCTCTGCACCTTCCCCCAGCTCTCCCGGAGCAGGGACAGCAGCACAGCACACAGTAACAGGAGTGCAGGAAGCTCTGGAGCACAGCGAGAGGCTCTGCCTGCCTTTGGGAGCAGAACAAGGCTCTCTCAGTGTACACTGACCCCGCAGTGTCACTCCCTGAGCCCCCCAGCCTGGCGGGGCCGTGCCGCTCACCTGCTTGCCCAGGTAGTGGTCCACACGGTACATCTCGTGCTCCCTGAAGAAGCTGGCCAGCTGGGTTGCCAGCTGCTGGGCCGAGGGCAGGTCGTGGCCGAAGGGTTTCTCCAGCACCACGCGCAGCCAGGCGCCGGCGGGCGGCCGGCAGCTGCTGTTGATGTGCCGGGAGATCTCCGTGTAGGCRAACGGCGGCACCGAGAAGTAGAAAATCCTGCCGGCCTCGTGCAGCCCCTCCTGKGCCAGCAGGCTCTCGATCTCCCTGCTCAGAGCTGTGTAGTTCTCRGCACTCTTCAGCTGGTGGTACTGGCTCAGCTTCAGGAACTGGTCCTTGAGCACGGCGCAGCGGTCGGGAGCCTCGTCCGGGGGACAGGAGAGCCTCTTGAGCACGTCAAACATCCTCCTCTGGCCCGGCTCCACCGCTGCCAGGGCAGCCCCGTGGAATGTGAAGCTGTGGCCGCTGCTCACTTGGTCCATGTAGAGCTGGAAYAGACCCTGCCACAAATACTTCTTGGCCAAATCGCCCGTGGCTCCCAGCAAGATCACGGAGATGTGGCCCTGAGATGCTTCAGCTGGCGATGGGAAGACTCCCATGAAGAGCACCGTGCACAGGACCCTTCCCAGCATCTTGGGGGAGAAGAGATGGAGCCAGGAACACTGCAGGTTGGGAATAAAAACCAAAATCAAGCCATGTTGTGGCACTGCAAAACACAGCACAAGGTACCTGCTTTCTTCTGCATGGATTCTCCACCTCACAGCCTCTCCTCCCTTCCATGATCTGAACCAAGGCAGCAATTTGGGCTCTGGACAGGTCTGCAGCCTCCTCCTGCACACCAGGAGTGGAGGGCAGTGTGTGCTGAAGGTCTTTGGTCAGCACGAGCACTGTTCCCAGAGCTGAGTTAACGAGGGGTGTCAGTGCCTTACACTGAAAAACCCATTTTCATACAAATCCCAGAGCTGGCTACAAAGGAGCACACCTTCCTGCCCCTGAGCACACCTTCCTGCCCCTAAGCACACGTGCTGCACCCTGAATCCTGTTCCCAACCTCCTGTTTGGGACTTTGCTCAAACAGTGCTGCGCTGTCCTGGCGTGGCTTCATGTCAATATTGCCAGAACAGCTCAGGGACAAACAGGACCCTGTCCCAGGCTCTTCTTGTGTCACCCAATGACTCGTGCACCACCACTGAACTGGGCTCTCATGAGCTGCTGGGACACTGCTGTCTCCAAAAACAACCTGGGTTTGTGCTCTGCCTCCTGCCACCTCCACCACTGCAGAGCAGGTTCTGTTCTGGCCTTCTCCGCTCAGTGCCTATTCAAACCACTCCAGCCAGGCCCAAAAGCCTTTTTGCTCACACTTATTTATTCAAAATAAAGTTGTTTTTAAGAGAAATGGCACGTTTGCCTCCTACACCCTTGAAACACAGCCATGACTGCATCTCAAGAGAGGTAAAGTCACTGAAGAGATGTTTAGTCACTGCTGCATGGGTGACTAAACTGTTTTGCTGTCTCATGACACCAGGTATCACTTCAGCAGCTCTCACACTGGCTCAGTCCCCTCATTTCCCTTTCTGAAACAGTGTTTAGTTAGACCAGAGCCTTCACAGCATGCAAGGTTATTAACTTCTCCAAAAACTTTGAGCTCTGGTAAATAAATGAGGATAACTCATAAATAATTACAAGGAACACGCGGGTACCTCTCCCTGCCTGCAGCTTGAACTGATCTGTAAAAATCCTGTTTCTCTCCAGCAGACTCACCTGTAGCACAGGAGCTTTCCAGACCATGGTGGCAAAAGCAGCTGGAAATGTTTCCTGTGCACGGCCTCCCTCCTCCTGTGACGAGTGTCTCTGGGGTGCACAGGGCAGATGAGGAGGTTGTTCCCTTCCTGGCAAATGACAGGAAACACCCAATTACAACAGAGAAAAAACCCAATGTGCCCGAGTCAGCAACRTCCCAGCACACCCCAGCGCTCAGGCCAACCCCACAGGCGGTGCTGGAGCCTTTGGCTGCTGTTTGTGAGCAGGAGGAACAGGGGCACGTGTGGCAATCCCTGCTCCAGAGAGTTACAAGGTGCAGGGCACTCTGTGAGCTGAGCTCCTCTCTCTCCAGCCCTGGCCATCCCCTCCCTCCCTTCTCTCCCTGCTGTTTAAGCTCCACAAACCCACTTTGGCAGCTGCAAAGGGTCACAAGCCTGGCTTCTAAGCTTCTACCTGCAGTATAAATGATTATTTGGCTTCCCTTCCCCTTGCTGTGGGGTTATAACACAAATAAAAAAGTTTCTCAGTTCAATAAAGTGGTGTTTGCACTTCTTGAGCAACCTTTGTTCCAGGAACCAGAGGCAAATGACACACTGCCCGTGGCACCCTGGCAGCCCCTGTGAGGTTGCAGCCCAGGGACAGGGACCCTGTGTGGAATGGGGAGGGTCTGGGTCACTTCTCCAGACCCACAGAAAGGACAGAAATGGCCAAGGAAATTCCTGGCAGATTCAGCTGCAGTCACGTGTATTCCCAAACCAACGGAAAGCCGGTTTCACAACCCCCCCARTGTTGCAAAATATTGAGTTGCACTGTGAAGAAAAGCTCAGTAAACCCAGCAGTGTTTGTTTGCTGTTTTCATATCAGAGAATCACCACTGCTCACATTAAAAAAATAATAATCCACAGATCCCCCAGCATGCCAGAACAAAGTTACTCAGTCAGGCTTCAGGAAAAGACTCCTGGGCCTGGTCCACATAAAACATGTAGAGCTTTGCCCAGCAGCCAGGTTGTGCATTCCCTTGAACAGCCACTGGAGCTCCTGTTCGACAGGAGCTCATTTCAGGTCTTTATGGAAAAAACGAAAAATACATGTTTTGTYATTGTTATATCCCCACTGAAAAATAATTTACAGATGTACAGCCAAAAGAGCTGGACTCTGATGATCCTTGTGGGTCCCTTCCAACTGAAGATATTCTACAATTCTATGATAAATGGAGCATGGCCTGGGGCTCCTATGGGGCTCTGCACAGGTAACACATGAAGGAAAGGGTTCTGAGATTCTTTGAGAACTGTGGAAACCACACTGATCTTCTGCATATGCAAACATGAGAGCAGGAACAACCTCACCATCAGCTTCTGGAAAAGCCAGAGCTTTAATGAGGAGACTCACATCAAAAGCAGGCTGAGAGATACACCAGTTCGTGTTTGGCCCTTCTGTTTCTGACTCAGCCTCACTCCATGTGCTCTGGCCCCAGCATCGTGACAGCAGCAGCTTCCAAAACCCTGCAGAAGCAGCACAGGAGAACCGGGAGAAAATCACCCCGTGCGTGGGCAGCGAAAGGAACGCGAGGGATGAGCTCACACAGCGACAGCGGCTGTCACAGCCCCGAGCACCCGCAGGGACCGGGCTTGGGACACTGGAACCGGGCTGGGGACACTGGAACCGGGCTGGGAACAGCGGGAGGGGCTGGGGACACTGGAACCGGGCTGGGGACAGCGGGGCAGGGATGGGGACAGCAGGGATGGGCTGGGGACAGCGGG